TTTGCTAGGGACACTTGTAAGGTCCTGTACTTGAAGCTCTCTGACTCCATCACTTAAGCACATAACAGCAGGAAGGCTTAGCAGCAGCATCTCTAATAAGATTAGGGGATTTTTGTCTCAAGTGAGCTTAGTATGAATTAATAATGTGGTATGGCTGCTATTTACCAACAACATTCAGCAAAGATCTGTTGACTCTAGCCAAGTAGTGATAGGAGGTTTATTAACTGAAATACCCCAATCAGAATCTCCTGAAGAGGATTCTGCAGAGATCAGTCAGAATCAGTCTGGTGCTGGCATGTGGTGGGGCAGATGCTAGCTTGGGGAGTGGCATGGGCCTTGAGCTGTCTGCCGTGAATCTCTGAAGGGGGGTCAAACTGACAGTTTTTGGTAGCAGATGAGCAGCTCTTGGTGGGCTTGCTGACTGCACTTGGACCTTTCTATCAGCATGGGTTCCCACCATCAGCACAGACAACTGGGCCTGTCCTCAGCATAGCTAAGATGGAGGTGGGACACAGTAAGAGAACCTATGTGTAAGGGGGCTGTCTAGAGAGGCTGTGGAGAATTGAGTGAGGAACTGGGTGAACGTCACTGGTAAACATTTTGGACTCAAACCAAAGTAGGATTTTGTTTGAGGATGGCACAACTTACAGATTGCCTGTGTTCATGGAAGTTGTTTCTGACAATACCAAGAGCATGGACAGTACTATGAAGAGTGCTCCTGTGGTTCCCAAGCAGGCTTGGGTCTGTGGGGCTGTGATTATTTCCCTTTGTCAATATTTGCCTTCTCGAGCTTTTCCTTTTTCAGCATTGAGCAAGTTCCTCTGGATAATCAGAAAAGGCTTTAATAGTATGGGTTCTCTGTGAAATTCTTAGTCTAATGACACGACTAAAGCATGAGACGGTGTTAGCAAACTTAATGAGACCAATTGCAAACCAAATCCAATTTAAAATGTAATCATTTTTCTTCCTTTCTTCCCTCCCTCCCTCCCTATGTATGGGTGGAAGTTAGAGGCTTGATGGCAAGTGCTTTTCCCACTGAACCATCTTGCAGGCCCCAAAGCCAAGTCTTTTTAAAATTTTTAAAATTTTATGTGTATGAGTGTATTGCCTGCATGTGTGTAAGTGCACCTATGTCATGTGGTACCCTCAGAGGTCAGAAGAGGGTGTTAGATCCCCTGGAACTGGAGTTACAGGTGGTTGTTAGCTGCCATATGGGTATTGGGAACTGAACCAGAGTCCTCTGCAAGAGCAGCTAATGCTCTTAACCACTGAGCCATCTCTACAGTCCCCCCTTTAAAAATATTTTATTTATTTATTTATTTATTTATTTATTTATTTAT